TTGAATACTGGTGGAGTTGGGAGGGGTTGATTTTATCATTTGGGAATTGTAGTTGCTGGGATTTATAGTTCACTTACAATCAAAGCGCACTCTGAACATCACCAATGATGTAATTGAACCAAACTTGGCATACAGAACTCCCATGACCAACAGAAAACACTAGAAAGGTTTGATGGGCATTGAACTTGAGTTTTGGAGTTGTAGTTCACCTACATCCAGAGAGCAACTGTGGACTCAAACAATGAAGGATCTGGACCAAACTTGGCACAAGTACTTAGTATGCCCAAATGTGAACACTGGTGGAGTTTAGGGAAATAGACCTTGACACTTGGGAATTGTAGTTCTGGGAATTATAGTTCACTTACAATCAAAGAGCATTCTGAACCACACCAATGATAGAATTGGGCCAAACTTCTCACACAGAACCCTCATGAAGAACAGAAAATACTGTGTTTTCTGATGGTCTTTCGTGACCCCTCTGCCACCCCCCTTGCGACCCCCCCCCCAGGGATCCCAGCCCCCAGGTTGAGAAACACTGATTTAGCAAAAATTCATCTGGTCACCCCCGTTTTTAACCCATTCTCTCCCAAATTATAGGTACTGTGTGAAAGTGCCCCCACCCCAAAGAATCACATTTGTTTCATATCTATGTTGTCTAGTCAAAATAAATGGGCTATAGCCATAGTGGCCATATGAAATGTTCACCAATGAAGATGTTTGCTCACAGTATTTGCTGAACTGTAAACATATGTGCACACATGCATACAGGGGCGGCTCAACACATTACACAAAGTAAGCATTTGCAGTATAGTTGATTTTGCCCAGGGGCGCTCTTGAGGCGCTCTTGGGGGAAAATAGACCTTGACATATGTGAGTTGTAGTTACTGGGATGTATAGTTCACCTACAATCAAAGAGCATTCTGAACTCCACCAATGATGGAATTGAACCAAAAATAGAACACAGAACTCCCACAACGAACAGCAAATATATAACAGTGATTGGTTGGGGGGGGGGGAGGGGCAAAATACTGTTTGCTTACCGTTGAAAATTACCTAGGGCCACTTCTGCATGCATACTAACACTCCTTACATCCACATGCAATACAACATTTGATGCAATATTCATAATGAAATATTCACTACTAGTGTTTTTTTCTTGATTTCAGAATTTTCTTTGTTTCATAAAATTAGCATATTATACTGCATGCTTATCTAACACACAGCAACTGACTCTCTCTGTAGCTATGCACATCTGTGTCTATGAGAAAGGAAAGGTGTTGATGTTGTTCATGGGCCTATGCAGTGGAGAAATTGCATGATGTGAGATATGCTTATCATTGCAATTTGTTGTATCAAAGAGCAGAAACACTTCTATCCTTAAACACCACATCAGTTTAGTAAAACAGTTTATTGAAGGATATATGTAAGCAAAGCAGTAAAAATAGTAAAAACAGTATAGTCCAAAGCAGTATAATCCAAGGATAAGATATAGTCCATGAACTTCGTGGTAAAAAGGTAAAAAACACAAAATCCAAGGATGCGAAATCCAGAGAACAAGACAGAATGGAAATCAAATACATGAAACAGGAACCTGGCAAAATTTGAAACATGAAACTAGATATCCACTTGGAGAAAGACCATCATGAAGTTCCAACATTGATAAGACTGAACTAAAACCCTTCCCTTGTTTCAATATAAAGCTTTTCCTGTCCCAAGAACCAAAAGGAAAGCATTCCACTTCCCCTTAGAATCAGATAAGGATTTATCTTTCTTTTCCAGCAGATGGATTGACCTTTGCCGATCCTGAGAACTCGGTCTCAGTTTACAAAAGTCTTGTTTTCTGTCTTTACACTCATTAAATTCTGCACCTGACAAATCATCCTCAGAAGATAGTTTCTCAGAGAAAGACTGCTGTGGATCTCTCCCAGGAATTTAACCTCATGAATCTGCAGGAGAAGCACTCTGTTCATGAGACACCTTGGGCCTCTTAGCAAGGACTGGGCTTGACTCAGTCCCGGAAAAAACCCTCATTCCCATTGACATCAAACACAGGCTCAGAAAATCTTTCATCCTCATTTACATCACAGGCTGAACTACAATGCAATTGTTTATTAAAGAAATTAGAAAAGTGTGTCTGGAGAACTAATTTCTTAATGGTTATTGGTATTAACATATAACAGACTGTCAGATGTATCTTTTCAGCCAATTAAGCATGTCCTTCCTTGCTTCTTCGATGAAAGGCCTATCTTGAGGGCTAATGTCTTCTCTTTTGCGGTGTACAAAGCCATGGGTTTGTCCTGGATAAATTTTCACTTTACAATCAGTTTTGCATTGTTCTTTTAGCTTCCGCTGTAGTTCAGCAACCTACAACAGAAAACATCTTCTTAGTACTGGTTCCAAATTAATGTCATCCCACGATTGACAGGACTCATCTCTTATTCCATGGAAAGTTATACAAAGTCAGTGCATAGACTCCTTAAATTTCCCAAAGCAGTTGCTCTACTCCGAACTCAAGAATGGAAAATGGAATGTTGGTGGACAGGAAAAGAGATTTAAAGATGGGCTCAAAGCCAACCTTAAAAACTCTGGCATAGACACTGAGAACTGGGAAGCCCTGGCCCTTGAGCGCTCCAGCTGGAGGTCAGCTGCAACCAGCAGTGTTGTAGAATTGGAAGAGGCACGAATGGAGGGTCAAAGAGAGAAATGTGCCAAGAGGAAGGCGTCAAGCCAACCCCTGACCAGGACTGCCTTCCACCTGGAAACCAATCCTCTCAGCGGGAGAATATGCAGATCAAGAATAGGGCTCCACAGTCACCTACAGGACCCACCAGTACACTGATCTTGGAAGACCATCCTACTCAGACAACGAAGGATGGCCTAAGTAAGTAAGTAAGTAAGTAAGTAAGTAAAAGTAAGTAAGTAAGTAAGTAAGTAAAGTATGTTCTTAACATTCAGATGTCTTGTACTGTTGCTTATTTTTTCATAACCCCAACATTTTGCTAATGAGACCCCATTTGATGTCAGGACCCACAGGTTAAGAAGCAGTGCGCTAGGATACAAAATGCTTTGGAATGTAAGAAAGACAGATACACTGTGTCCATAGACTTCATTTTCCACAGGTAATTTTTGTAGTCCTATACATTGTTTCTGCATTACTATTTGTCAACTGTACTTTTTGAAAGAACACCGTACCTGGTCTAGAGGAACAAAATCATCGTTCTCTGCAAACATGAAAAAGGTGGGGTTCTTAAGATCGTAATTGTCCTCGTGAAACCCGATGATTCCTGGAATATATTTGAGGGAAAAAAGCAGCATTAAAATTAAACACTAAACTTCTACTAAGTAAATAGTTTTATATATTTGGTATCACACCTTTTTGCAGTTCCAAAGATTCAAAAACAGGGATGTTATGTAGGAACTATCCATTTTCTGTTTTGGGGGGGAAATGATAAGAAGATCGGAAGATTCAATCACAGGAAGATTTGGGGGCAGCAGAAGACTTAGCTATGGAGGCATAAATTGCGTGAGACACGTATACCGTATATTCTGGCGTATAAGACTACTTTTTAACCCAAGAAAATCTTCTCAAAAGTCAGGGGTCATCTTATATGCAGGAGTCGTCTTACACGCTGGAGTAGCCTTATGCATGGGAGTCGTCTTATATGCGGGAGTAGTCTTATATGCTGGGAGTCGTCTTATAGAGCGGGTGCTGAAACTTCCAATCCGGATTGGAGAATCTGTGGTTGCTGAATATTGTGGGGGGAGCTCAAAAATGGCAGTGGCAGCGACAGTATGAAAGCATTAAGGGTGACGCTGTACAAGTACGGTAGAAGAAAATCCATTCATCAGGATTCGTGGACTTAATGCGGTCCTGATGGTGAGGTGAAGGGGTGCCTCACCGGGAAGGTGTAAGTGAAGGGTGAAGCAAGCTGCAGGCCTCCGGGGTATGGAAAAAAAGAGAGAGAGTGGTTCTGGGCCCAGCAAAACACAACTCTTTTACTTGTCTGGCTCGCCCTTGTGTCCTATTACCGCATCTCCTCCTCTGTCTCTCAGATCTCACTCCTGAAGACTGCAGTGAAGTGGTGCAGGTGCGTATGTGCAAGATCTGAGAGGCAGAGAAGGAGGTACAGTAATAGGAAAATTACCATATTGAAATCAAATCTGATACTTTAAAATTTTTGTTTGGTGTGTGTTGGAAGAGGGGTAGTCTTATACGGCGAGTAGATCCCAAACTCTATAATTTAACTGGAAAAGTTGGGGGTCGTCTTATATGCCCAGTCATCTTATATCCCAATGCAAATCATAGAATCACAGAGTTGGAAGTGAGTCCAACCCCCTGCCAAGAGCAGCAAAATCACATTCAAATCACCCCTGACAGAAGGCCATTCATCCTCTGCTTAAAAGCCTCCAAAGAAGGAGACTCCACCTAACTCCAGGCAGAGAGCTCCACTGCTGAACAGCTCTCACAGTCAGTAAGTTCTTTCCGATCATCGGGTGGAATCTCCTTTCCTGCAGTTTGAAGCCATTTTTCCGCATCCTAGTCTCCAGGGCAGCAGGAAACAAGCTTGCTCCCTCCTCCCTATGCAGGCCCAAATCCCATTGGCTTTTTAAGCTGCTGCATGACATTGTTGGCTCATGTTTAACTTGTTGTCCACGAGGACACCAAGATGTTTTCACACATACTGCTGTCAAGCCAGGCGTCCTCCATTCTGTACTAACCCAAATTTAATACAATGATCACAACTCAGCTACAAGCCATTTTTTTCACATTATGAAGACAAGTTTGGTGATATGTGAATGATTTCTGCTTAAATCATAAGTAATAGCCTAGGATACAGTCTCCAAAGAACGCAGAAGTGTAATCAACCTTAATGGCTCGATTTTTTTGACAGCCAAAAGCATGCTCCAACCTAGAAGTATCAACTTATTTCCATCATCTTTCTGTATAATACATGCAGAGTTTATCAATGTGTACAGACTCCATTGTACATGGCACTTACCACAAATTGATACACCAGCCTTAAATTCCAAATATCTCAACATCAAATGATGAACAACAGCTCCACCCCAGCAAAATCCAATGACACCTATCTCCTTTGCATGACATTGTTTCTTCAGATATTTCAAGACAACGTCTGTTTCCCTGAGATACAAATATGTAGGTAAATGAAGACATTAGTTAAGTAAAGGTAAAAGTAAAGTTAAAGGTTTCTACTGACATTAAGTCTAGTCATGTCCGACTCTGGATGGTGGTGCTCATCTCCATTTCTAAGCCGAAGAGCCGGCACTTTTCAAGGTCACATGGCCAGCATGACTGCGTGGAGTGCCTTTACCTTCCTGCAGAAGCGATACCTATTGATCTACTCACATTTGCATGTTTTCGAACTGCTAAGTTTTGAACTTTTACCTGTTGGTATTTTTGGAATCTCGTGTTTTTAGCCAATCATCATATGTAGCCCAGTCATTTGATTGTTTCCAAGGTTCTTGCCCTTTAAAGAAATCTGGGATAATTGCTCTGTATGGAAAAATAATACAAGCTCAATTATCAACTACTAGTTTTGATATTTTCGAATATTAGCCTATAATGGATAAACGTTGACATCCTACAATCCCCAGCAATGTTTCTTGACCAAAAATAATTTTAAAATAGCTTTTAGTACATATTGGAGAGAAAGAACCATTCACTGTTATCTAGTGAAGGGTTTGTATGAATGCAGAATTCTTTACAAAACTACGAGGGTTGAATGAAAAGTAATGCCTCCACCTTCGTTACTTGGGTTTGGATGGGAATATTTTAATAAATCAAACACAGAAATAATCCTTAGAATGTGCTCTTTAACTACCACTATTCACTTTTCCACATAATCACCAGACAATTGGATACATTTCTGCCAACAATGAACAAGTTTTCTGAAGCCGTCACAGAAGAAGTCGACACTCTGTTTCCGCAACCAGCATCTCACAGTTCTCTCATCCTGGGTACCTCTATTAAAACAGCTTCATTGGCTGCCAATAAGTTGCCGAGCCAAATTCAAGGTGCAGGTCATGACCTATAAAGCTCTAAACGGTTCGGGCCCCGCCTATCTCCGCAATCGCATCTCCTTCTATGAACCGGCACGAGCTCTAAGATCTTCCGGGGAGGCTGCCCTCTTGGTCCCACTACCGTCTCAAGCGCGGTTGGTGGGGACGAGAGAGAGGGCCTTCTCGGTGGTGGTCCCCCCGTCTCTGGAACGTCCTTTGAAGGGAAATAATACAGGCCCCATCCCTCCCCTCCTTTCGTAAGAGCTTGAAGACCTGATGGTTTCAACAAGCCTTTGAAAATGACCAGTTCTAACTCAGCTCTACACATTGTTGAATACGGCCTTATTCTTCCTACCAATTATCCAGATTCTTTCCTCTAATCAGCCACGGAATGAACAGCCACAGACCCGTACCTAATATTATTGTTGCCTGCCATAGCATTGCACTTAATTCCCGGGGCCCCTAGAATTTTTGGGCTTGCACAAATCTTGGTCCGGCCTTTTAAACTTTTAAATTGCCTTGAACAATCAGGATTACTTTTAATATATGTGTGTTATGGCGACAATTTTTATGTTTATATTTTGTTTTGTTAATCTTGTGGTTATGTTGTTTTTACGTTGTATGTTTTGTGATGTTGCCTGGGAACCACTCCGAGTCCCCTCGGGGGAGATGGAGTGGTATATAAATAAAGTATTATTATTATTATTATTATTATTATTATTATTATTATTATTGTGCACAGATCTTCCAATAGCCAAGCAAAGCAATAATGTGACCCACACGTTCTTGTGAAATGCTGATAATGCTTGAAATTTCTCTCTGAGTGATATGATGATCATCCTGAATCAATCTGTCAACCTTTTGCTTGTGAAACTTGGTGGTTGCTGTCACAGGACGTCCAACTCTTTGTTTGCCAAGCAAGTCAGATGTTCCCACCTCAACATCTTTAAACTTACCCAATGGCGCACAGTGCTCACATCAATACAATCACCATAAACAGCTTGCATTCTCTGATGAATCTCCTTTGGGGTGACACCTTCTGCTGTCAAGAATTCAATGACTGCACGTTGCTTAAGTCGCATTGCACAACCGTCTGCACCGGGTTCCATACTTCGCACTTTAATAACACAACCATTTAATGCTAAGGCTTCCTGCCAAAATGGAACTGTAGAGGAGAGTCTACTGAACAAGCCAGTACCTGCCACATACCAATACTGCCATCTGTTGAGGAATTACGAAGGTGGAGGCATTACTTTTCATTTCATTTGTGTACACAAAATGTATAACCATTTTGTGTAGACCAAACCACACTTGACTTCATGGCAGAAACATTACAGAACATTTCATTCCCTTCTGTATAAAATAGTGTGAGATGTTCCAAGAAATCCTTCGGGAAACAACCAAYATGGACCAAGTGGTGCACTGTCGGCCATGTATAGCTAGTTACCCATCTTTGAAATTATACAACCGGMTTCTGAAAACAGAAAATTCTACATGAATTGGAATGGTAAAACTCCTCCTCCTTGTCTTTTTTTGCTTCTGCAGCTGAGATTAAAATTAATTATTGCCCAACTATTATCTAAGGGTCACAGATACAATTCTAATGGGTCTATTAAATGCAAAAAATATATGTAACGTAACACAGATTCAGGTGAGGAAAAGGCTACTTCTCAGCCTCAAAGTTCTAGGTATTTTGCATAATTGATTCTATTATTTTGTGTATAAGTTTACAAACAGAGAAGAAATACATTAGATTGCTTTATATACGCAGTGTCCATACTTATAATACTTATAATAAAAGATTTGATGGGTTACCGATTAGGTAAGAAAAATCACGAAACATTTCTTACATATATCCCTTAGATGCAAGCATGTCCGCTATAAATCTGGTATTTGGTAGCTGCCACCCAAAAATGTCGTGTACCACTATGACAGCTTTCCTGGTAGGGTGAGGAGGCTTGATCACGTAAGCACTGATGTGTCCGACAGAAAATTCATGTCCCCGCCCTTCATAGTCAAACCTGTCTCCAAGGTTGCATGGGCAAGGTCTTGCTTTATTGGCCATCTGTCATAATGAAAACAAGATTCACAAAGGTTAATGCAACTGAACTTTGTTGGATTATTCATATATTTATCATATCAGGAGCGAATCAAGGATGCAGTTGTAATGTATTTAAAAAAAACATTAAGTTTAGAAACTTGGCATTCTATTACATGTCCTTTGACCAGTAGCTGGCCAACTGGAGCGCCTCTGGTGTTGCTACAAGAAGGTCCTCCATTGTGCATGTGCATTGCAGCAGGTGGTCAGTGGTTTGCTCTTCTCCACACTCGCATGTCGTGGATTCCACTTTGTGGCCCCATTTCTTAAAGTTAGCTCTGCATCTCGTGATGCCAGAGCACAGTCTGTTCAGCACCTTCCAAGTTGCCCAGTCTTCTGTGTGCCCAGGAGGCAGTCTCTCATTTGGTATCAGCCATGGGTTGAGTTTCTGGTTTTAGCCTGACTCTTGTTTGCTGAGATGTTCCTGTGAGGATCTCTGTAGATCTTAGAAAACTATTTCTTGAATTAAGGCATTGGCAAGCTAGCTGATACCTGAACAAGGGATGGGTCGGAGATGTCATTTGTTGGAAAACATTGCATTATGGAAATATAGTTTCATCTGTGCTCAGTTGATGCATCTATGTGTGTGTGAACCTGATGAACTGTAGCTTCAGAGATCTATTATTCAGCCTCAAAAGTTTCTTTCCACATGAACTGTGTTAAAATTAAAATCAAACCTACTTCTTCAGTAATTTTGAAATATGTTAATACGACTATGGAAATATTTGGTTAATGAATACCAAATGGTCTTTAGAACAGTCCTTGTGATTGCTAGCAACAGATATAAAGGTAAATTCAACATGTTGCTGCTTATGCCCATAACAGCATGCCCAGAGATTATCTCCCAATCCTTCAAAGCTGTTTAGGGTGGCTGGTGCTTTGGGAAAATCTGTAGCACAAAGGTGAAATTATACCTTTGGATGGGATTCTCACTGTGTACTTTCCATCATTCCCATTTCTTTGCAGACTTGGAGGAAGTTTTTGTACAGCACATTCTTATTTGGTGAATTATTGGTGTTTCTTCACAGTGTTTACAAATCTTCATATCTTTCTGTGCATAGCTGTAGCCTTTCTTTTTGACATTTGTGTTATACATAAAAATGGTTAAATATTATACAGCACTGAAGCTGAACTCTGTTCACATTTAGCTTACAGATCATGTTATCATACTATCACACGATGCTCTGAGTCTCCCTTCGGGGTGAGAAGGGCTGGGTAACAATAACAATAAATAATAATAATAATAATAATAATAATAATAATAATAATAATAATAATAATAAAGCATGTTGGCCAGTATTTTTTGAAAGTCAAGAACCAACATTGAGGGAAGTCAATAGTAGTAAACTGCTTAAAGTGCAAAACACAAAGAGGGAATACTGTAAAAACACAATCCAGAGCAGAAGAGAAAACTGGCAAAAGAAGACTCTCCATGGACAGTTCCTGGGAAAAATTGAGAGCCAAATTGACAAAGAAAAAACATGGCTGTGGCTCACAAATGGAACTTTGAAAAAGGAGACGGAGAATAAGCCATTAGAACAAATGCCACCAGAGCCAGAATTGAAAAGTCAACAACAGATCCCAAATGTAGACTGCAAGGAAGCAGATGAAATAATAGATCATATACTCAACTGCTGCAAGAAGATTGCACAGACAGACTACAAGCAGAGGTATAACACCATTGCTCAGATGATTCATTGGAACTTGTGCCATGATCACCGTCTGCCAGCGACAAAGAACTGGTGGGATCACAAGCCTGAAAAAGTTACAGAAAATGAACATGTCAAACTATTCTGGGACTTCCGAATTCAGACTGACAGAGTTTTGGAGCACAATACTCCTGACTTCATGATCATGTTAAAAAAACTAAGTATGGATCGTCAATGTTGCAATCCCAGGAGACAGCAGAATTGAAGAGAAACAACTGGAAAAGCTGACCCGATACGAGGATTTAAAGATCGAACTGCAAAGAGTCTGGCACAAGGCAGTCAAGGTGGTCCCAGTGGTGATCGGCACACTGGGTGCAGTGCCTAAAGAGCTTGGCCTGCACTTAAACACAATCTGCGCTGACAAAATTACCATCTGCCAGCTGCAAAAGGCCACCTTACTGGGATCTGCACGCATTATTCACCAATCCATCACACAGTCCTAGACATTTGGGAAGTGTCCGACGTGTGATCCAATGCAACAGCCAGCAGAGTGACCTTATTTTCTGTGGACTCATCTTGTTGTGTTTAATAATAATAATGATGATAATAATAATAATAATAATAATAATAATAATAATAATAATAAATCACAAGGAGGCTTTCATGAAGAGAACTGTTGTTATGTCAGCCGAAATGGGAAAAGTTAATATTCTATCCAAAGTGTGACCACTACAGACCTTATCACACTGGCCAATGTGAGCATCCTAGGAAACTTGCTGGCCAGTTGAGGGACAGATGGGCGTGTAGCCCATCACACTATGTCCCTCAACTTCCAGCAGAGGCCCCTCCCCCAATCAGCATTGATTATTTTACTCTATTATTATTACATTTACATTATTTTGCTGTATTATTATATTTATTGCATGCATTATTTTTTGCATTTATTATTGCATTTATTATTTTATTCTATTATTGTTATTATTACATTTATTACTTTATTGTTATTACTATTATTATTAAATTCCCATTATTTACTCTATTATTATTTTTATTACATGTTATTACATTTATTATTTTATTCTTTCATTATAGGTAATTTGTTCTATCATTATAGGTAATTTACATTGAAGGAGGTTAGAATAATGGTTGAATCAGAGTTGGGTAGTCTTATCTTCCGGTTCCGGTATGGCGGTCAGCAGCAGCAACGCTGAGCTGCGCTGACAGAGAAAGAACAGAGAAAGAATAATCTTGGAGAATCCTCCCCCCCGACCACCAAATAAGGGGGTGTGAGGTCGGCACCCACTGCGGTCTTGCTGGACCTGAGAGAGAGCTGGAGGGAGCGAGGGAGCCAGGGAGAGAGAGAGCCAGGAAGGCGGAGGTAGGCGAGGGAACGCCGCCGCCATTACAACGCGGCCACCTCCTCAAGAAACCTACCTACCTGGGCCTGGTCGGCCGTCCGGCTCGCCGAACCGCCTGGGCTCCAATCCAGGGCTTCGGTTCCCGCTGGGGGGGCCCTCTTGCGGCGCTGCCGCCCAGGCTGCTGCTGCTGGGACGCTGCGGAGCACGCCGCGGCTGCTGCGGTCGCCATCTTGGCGTCTTGCCGTCGCTGCCAGATCTCGCTTCTGCGTGGAGGAGGCAGCTGGAAGAGAGGCAGCCAGGCAGCCAGGAGGCCGAGAAGAGGCGGGCCGCCGCCGCCGCCGGCTGCCGTCCTGTTCCCTTGCGGAGTGCTGGGGAGGAGTGAGTTGGAATCTTTCGCAGCAACCGGCAGCAACCGGCGCCGAGGCTGCCGCCGCGAGCGCCGCGAACGGCTGGGCCTCCGCTGGGGGGCCTACTCCAGGTGAATCGCTGCACCGTGGGGATCGCTTGAGCCGGGCCCTGGCCGTCTGAGCCTTGCTGCCCTTACCATCGGGCCTCGTTCTCCCCTCTGTGGAGAGTGGGGAGCGAGTTTGGGGCCTATTGCTGGGGCCGAAGCCGCTGCCGCCACGAACGCCGTGAGCGCCGCTCCAACTAGGCCTTTGCCATCTGGGCCTTATGAAGCAGGCCGCTAAGCCGTGAGCACTGCTCCAGCTGGGCCCTTACCATCTGACCTCGTCGTTCGGCCTGTACAGGACGCCCCGCCGCCTGGCCCAACATCGCCCAACACAGCCACCCCTCATCATCTGGGCCTTTTACCATCTGAGCCTGTATCGGTCGCTGAGCCTCCACTACCTGGGCCTTGCCAGGCGGGCCGCAGCGCCGCGGGGGCTGCCTGGATCGGGCCCTGGCCTCACCACCTTTTACCATCTGGGCCTTACCACCTGGGCAAGCCGTGTGCAGACCTTCCTTGTGCTGTCCCTCTCTGTGTTGACCGATATTGTGTAGACCTTTTTGTGCTAACCTTTCTCTGTGTTGACCGATATTGTCCAACTTGTGCTGACCACCACCGTGTCGACCATCTCCGGAAGACTGAGAACATCCGCTGTTTTACATCAGCCGTCTATAGATTACACCTTGAATCATAATAACGTTACTAGCTGATATTATTGCCAACTCCTTAGTGTTGTGTTTACATATTGCTAATATAGCACGTTCCTTAACTACCTTGCTGCTAATTGGTACTAAGAACGCAATATAGCACTTTAAGGCTCTTTTGCTGCTAAACTGTACTAGCACTTACGCTCCCTTCCCCTATCCCTCCATGCCGCACTTTAGATATCGCTGAGGGCCAGATTTGGGTATTTTGTCGCACTTTAAGATCCTTGCACTTTATGAGTTGTTCCGGATTGTCAGAGGTCTTTTAACTCCCGCCACTTCAGGCGGGAGCCCTGACAATTCGGCCTCGCGCTGCGAAGCATTTGCTCGGTTCTTTGCAGACAAAGTCGCCTTGATCCGTTCTGGGCTGGACACCATGTTAAATGCAGTCTCTGAGGATGTGACACGAGCACCTGCTTGTCCTATTTTGATGGATTCTTTTCAGTTTGTGAAACCCGAGGATGTGGACAAGATACTTGGAGGAATGAGGCCCACCACGTCCATCCTAGACCCCTGCCCATCCTGGCTTCTGAAGGAGGCCAGAGGGGGATTGGCTGAGTGGGTAACGGTGGTAGTTAATGCCTCCCTTCGGGAAGGCAAGATTCCAGCGAGCTTAAAACAAGCTATTATAAAACCGCTGTTGAAGAAACCATCACTGGACCCCACTAAATTTGACAACTTTCGGCCTGTTTCCAATCTCCCCTTTTTGGGCAAAGTCATGGAAAGCGTGGTGGCCTCACAACTCCAGGTATTCTTGGGAGACACGGATTATCTGGATTCAGCACAGTCTGGTTTCAGACCGGGACATAGAACTGAGACAGGTCTTGGTCGCCTTAGTGGATGATCTGCGCCGGGAGCTAGACAGGGGGAGTGTGTCCCTGTTGGTGCTCCTGGACCTCTCAGCGGCCTTCGATACCGTCGACCACGGTATCCTTCTGGGGCGCCTTGCGGAAATGGGCCTTGGGGGCACTGCTCTGCAGTGGCTCCGGTCATTTCTGGAGGGTCGCACCCAGAAGGTGTTATTGGGGGACACCTGTTCAACGCCACAGCCTTTGACTTGTGGGGTTCCACAGGGCTCTATACTGTCCCCCATGCTGTTTAATATCTACATGAAGCCGCTGGGTGAGATCATCCGGAGTTTCGGGGTGCGGTGTCATCTGTACGCAGATGATGTCCAACTCTGTCACTCCTTTCCACCTGCTACTAAGGAGGCTGTCGAGGTCCTGAACCGGTGCCTGGCCGCTGTGACGGTCCGGATGAGGGCGAACAAACTGAAACTAAATCCAGACAAGACAGAGGTACTCCTGGTCAGTCGCAAGGCCGAACGGGATATAGGGTTACAGCCTGTGCTGGATGGGGTCGCACTCCCCTTGAAGGCGCAGGTTCGCAGCTTGGGTGTGACCCTGGATTCATCGTTGAGCCTGGATCCCCAGGTTTCAGCGGTGACCAGGGGAGCATTTGCACAGCTTAGGCTCGTGCGCCAGCTGCGCCCGTACCTCGGGAAGTCTGACTTGGCCACGGTGGTACACGCTCTGGTCACATCCCGCCTTGACTACTGCAACGCTCTCTACGTGGGGCTGCCCTTGAATACGGCCCGGAAGCTTCAGCTAGTCCAGCGCGCGGCAGCCATGTTACTAACAGGAGCGGGACGCAGGGAGCACACAACGCCCTTGCTGTTCCAGCTCCACTGGCTGCCGATCTGCTACCGGGCCCAATTTAAGGTGCTGGTGTTGGCCTACAAAGCCCTAAACGGTTCCGGCCCAAAATACCTGTCTGACCGCATCTCGGCCTATGAGCCCACGAGGGCCTTGAGATAGTCTGGGGAGGCCCTTCTCTCGATCCCGCCTGCCTCACAGGCACGTCTGGCGGGGACGAGAGATAGGGCCTTCTCGGTGGTGGCCCCCCGGCTGTGGAGCACTCTCCCTGTAGACATCAGACAGGCGCCCTCCCTTATGTCATTCCGCAGGAGCCTAAAGACTTGGTTATTTGAGAAGGCGTTTAACTAAGTGCTAAAACAATTGGTAATGACGACTGGAACGGAATATGGACTACGAGATTGGTTTATGATTCTACGATGAGGCGGCGCGGATGATTTAGTGTAATTATTTGATTGTTGTATTATTGATAGTTGTTGATATTTCGCTGTGCTATTGCTTTATTGTAAACTGTGTTTTTATATGTCGTACACCGCCGTGAGTCGCCCTAGGGCTGAGAACGGCGGTCAACAAATGCAGTAAATAAATAAATAAATAAATAAATAAATAAATAAATAAATCTTAAATTACAGTTTTGTGTAAATTCTTAAAAAACATTTAACCTACTGACGATTAGCAGCTACATTTCTCACCCTCGGCTTATACTGGAGTCAATACGATTTTCCAGTTTTTTTGTGGTAAAATTAGGTCCCTCGGCTTATATTCAGGTCGGCTTATACTCGAGTATATACGGTATATGCAAGTTTATTGACATCAATTCAAAGCTTATTACCTCATTACAAGATTACAGCCCCTGCATATAAAATACTCGAAAGCAGGGTTCAGCCACACAACCCGTATTGTGTGGCAGGGTTCTGCCTTCCACTGCAACAAGTATGACTTTTTAAAACATATGTCTTTTTCACTAAACTGGACACACCTATATTTCATAGGATCATAGAATCATACAGTTAGAAGAGAACCCGTGGACCATCGTCCAACCCCACCAAGAAGCAGGAAAATCACATTCAAAGCACCTTGACAGATGGCCATCCAGCCTCTGCTTAAAAGCCTCCAAAGAAGGAGCCTCACCACACTACAGGGCAGAGAGTTCCACTGCTGAACAGCTCTCACAGTGGGAAGTTCTTCCTAATGTTCAGGTGGAATCTCCTTCCTGTAGTTTGAAGCCATTGTTCCGTGTTCTGGTCTCCAGCAGAAAACAAGCCTGCTTCCTCCTTCCCTCACATATTTATACATGGCCCTCATCATGTCTCCTCTCAGCCTTCTCTTCTTCAGGCTAAACATTCCCAGCCCTTTCATAGGGCTTGTTCTCCAGACCCTTGATCATTTTAGTCATACCCATCATATTCCTCCAGCCACATATATCACAGCTTGTGGCAGTGAGCCACGTGTTCTTCTCTGATCTAAAGCCTTTGATAATGTTCTGGAGATGAAAGTGTCAGACAGTTATTTGGCTGAAACACCACACGCATATTTTGTATATAGCCGATTCCCATCTGTCTTATTGCGGTGGAGAGTCGAGCATATCATGCTAGATTTCTACATACCTGCAACAGAGAGTCTTCCAGGTCCTTAGAAGAGGAGAAAAGTTGTTAAGATTTACAAGAAAGAAATGAATTGGCTTTCTACAAAAACTTCTTCTGGTTTCACAGGAGTGTATCCTGCACTAGTCCTGGAGACAGAGAACAGAGACTGTTAAGTACAAAAGAGGTTCAAACTTTGGCACTAAATTAAGAAATAGGAGGAGACTGAAACCCCTCCTCTGTACTCTTGCCTTTCGGTCAATGCTCAACAAATACTTAGCAAGTTTCTTTCTGTATTCTTGCTTTTTTAAACAGTCTTTTCATATTAGTTCTCAATTAAAAGGGGAGGCAAATATTTGAAGCAGTAAGCCCACATTGTTCTTTTACGATTATCTGTTTGATATATTATCATTATTCAGATCTTTCATAACACTACATTCTATGTTTAAATGCCTTTTTTGAAAAGTATATAACTATCCTTGATTTGCCTTCACGGTTCATTATCCATGTGTTGATATTGATATTCTCAACCTGGAGGTCAGGACCCCAAGGGGGGTCTTGAGGGGTTATCAGAGGGGTTGCCAAACATCATTAGGAAACACAGTATTTTCTGTTGATCATGGGAGGTTCTGTATGGGAAGTTTGGCCCAATTCTATTATGGCAGGGTTCAGAATGCTCTTTGATTGTAGGTGAACTATAAATCCCAGCAATGACAACTCCCAAATGTCAAGGTCTATTTTCCCCAAACTCCACCAGTGTTCACATTTGGGCATATTGAGTATTTGTGCCAAGTTTGGTCCAGATCTATCATTGTTTGAGTCCACAGTGCTCTCTGGATGTAGGTGAACTACAACTCCAAAACTCAAGGTCAATGTCCCGAAACCCTTCCAGTATTTTCTGTTGGTCATGGGAGTTCTGTGCCAAGTTTGGTTCAATTCCATTGTTGGTGGAGTTCAGAATGCTCTTTGATTGTAGGTGAACTATAAATCCCAGCAACTACAACTCCCAAATGAAAAATCAATCCCCTCCAACCCCACCAATATTCAAATTTGGGCATACTGGGTATTTGTGCCAAATTTGGCCCAGTGAACAAAAATCCATCCTGCATATCAGATGAAAATAATTTTATGCTTTGGGGTCAGCACAAGATGAAGAACTGTATTAAGGGGTCGCGGCATTAGGAAGGTTGAGAAACACTGYTCTAGAACATGGCCATATAGCCCGGAAAAACCTACAACAACCCATTCTTTTGGACTCTATTTTCTCAATTGCCTTTCTGAAACTCCTGCTGTGCTGTAAGGATTTTGTTTTGCCCATCAAAAGGCTAGCAGAAAGAGACATATARGAGAGCTAAAGCTTCATTTCTCCCCTCCCTCCTGTTTTCAATTCTGCGATGTAAGAATAACCCTTCTATATATGTTGTTGTGAGTTTTTCAAGATGTAAGTTGAAGTCTGGAGATTAAAAAAGATAAGTTTTTTAAAAATAAAATGGGGGAGGGACAGTGGGGGAAACAAGATTTGATGGCAAWTCAAATGGATAAATCTTAAAGAAAGCAGAGACAAGGATTAGGTGYGATGGAGGTAGGAAAATCTTCTGTTTAATTTCAAAATACAGTGTGGTGATGCTTAAGGGAAAGCCTATAATCTGAAACATTTTAATTATTCCGTGGGATGAACTCCCTTGTTAGAAAGCTTTAAAAAGTTTTGCAAAAAGGTGTTTGTRCTTGCTTTCTGAATAATTGCCCAGCCACCTCTTTATAAATAATAACAATAATAAAACTTTATTTATATACTGCTCTATCACCCCTAGGGGACTCAGGGCAGTTTCCATGTAACAAAACACCAAAACATAGAGAGTAAGCAAAACATAAGCATAAAATTATCAAAACAACACATACCGTTTAGGGCAGGGATCCTCAAACTTCTTAAACAAAGGGCCAGATCACAGTCCCTCAAACTGTTGGAGGGACGGATTATAATTCGAAAAAGCATGAATTAATTCCTACGCACAATACACATATATTTGTAGTGCAAAAAACACTTAAAAACAATACAATAATTAAAATGAAGAACAATTTAAACAAATATAAACTTATTAGTATTTCAATGGGAAATGTGGGCACTGATGAGATAGGATTGTTGTTGTTGTTTGCTTTCAAATAATTTCAGACTTGTGCTGACCCTGAGCAAGGGCCAGGTAAATGATCTTGGAGGGTCGTATCCGGCCCCCGGGCCTTAGTTTGACGACCCCTGGTTTAGGGCTTTATAGGTCATAACCTGCACCTTGAATTTGGCTCGGCAACTTATTGGCAACCAAGGAAGCTGTTTTAATAGGGATATTGTATGCTTCCTACAGTTTGCTTCAGTTAGGAGCCTGGCTGGTGCCCATTGTACCAAATGAAATTTACGGGCCRTCTTCAAGGGCAGCCCCATGTAGAGTGCATTGCAGTAGCCCAGTCTGAATGTAACCAAGGCATGGRCCACCCTGGCCAAGTYAGACTTCATGAGGTATGATCGTAGCTGGCRCACAAGTTTAAGCTGTGCAAAGGCCCTCCCAGCCACTGCCGATGCCTGGTCATCAAGCGACAGCATTGAATCCAGTAGGACCCCCAAGCTATGGACCTGTGCCCTCAGGAGGAATGTAACCCCGTTGAGCACAGATTGCCACCCAATACCCTGGTCTTTCTGTGCAGACTGTTAATAAGGCTTCATTTTTCATCCTCCAAGCCTGTRTGTTAATTGGCTACAATGCACTGGGGACAAATCCATTGTCCTTAGGGGAAGTACAATGACTATAAAGGCCAAATAATCAGCAATCTCAACATACATTGTTTTGGAAATGTATACTGTTATCAGAAAAGAAATGAATGTGTGTCAAGTATAGCCTCCTCATCAAAATATTTGTTTTTGTATATAAGAATTGTGCAATCCCAGGCCATTGTTGTTGTACCAAACACAGTTGTTATCCTGCATTTTAGCAAATATAATGTAGTATCCCTGCCAGGGTCACTTGTTATTCATTAACCCGAAGTTCTCTAGATTTTTGTGTTAAAATTTCTATCAACCTTAGCTGTGGCCAGTGAAAGGTGATCATGGGTCAAAATATAGTCCAAAATATAGGCATCAGACTGGGCAAGATGTCACTAAAGCATGAAGCTGAAAATATGGGAGAATTCAGAGGAGTTTGAAAGGTCACA